AATTTGGAGGTTAAATTAAAAATTAAACCATTTTATTAATGTGCCACATCACATCCTAACGACATTCAACGTTCAAGTGACCAAAATTTAAGAAAATGATAATGTAAGTTATCAAAATTTAATAAATGATAACGTAAGTGACCAAAATTTAAGAAAATAATAATGTAAGTGACCAAAACTTGTCAAACAAGATTTCATTTTGATATTTTTTCATTTCTTCATTTGACTAAAATAGTTTCAAGTTTCTTAGTCCCATATTTTATTTAATCTCGGTTGGTGGTGCAGGGGTGAGGTAGCAGCATGGGCTGCTGTGAAGCTGCAACCGGCGGATATTGAGGGATTTACTTCCCTCATTTTTTTGGTCTTAAATATATTAGTAAAATTGGTGATGACATATTCCATATGCCATAATCAGTAATAATTAAATTTTAATTTTAATGCTTGAAGATTGTATATCATATTTATAAGATTAAATAATAGATAATAATTTCCATCTAATACTTAATTTATTATTATAAATCGTCACTTGTCTAATATATTATTTAATAAATAAAAAGATTTATCTTTTACTCCAAAGTCATATACTAATATAATGGGTCAAACATTATACACGTGAGGTAATATAAGATTTCTAATAGTGGACAAAGTTCTAGAATACAATGATAATCTTATTACCTCTTATTACCGCAGAAAATGAAGAGCTTCAAGACTGTCAACTTCAAGAATGACGTTTTTAAAACCAGCTTCCCAAGCCAATAAGAGACCAATGTAAGCACCCCAATGTTCAAGATTGTCAAATATTCAAGCAATATTTCATTTTGATTTTTTAAATAGGAATTTCATTTTTTTTAATTGAAAGCGGCATCGAACTGTTTTGTAATAAGGACCTGATTTATCTCGAGTAACAAGCGAAAGAACATTCAATGGCTTCGAATCAATCATGGTAACTCGGTAGTGATCAAGGGATAACAATTTCGCTAAACAGTCGACCACCATATTGCATTAACGTGGAATCTAAATAAACACATTTTGATTCTTTTATTACTATTAATGTTAAAATATAACTTAAATCATATAACTTTTTTATACATTGTTATTAGAAAACATTATCAGTCAGATAATATAAGATTTTTTTAATAGATGGGGTGATTACAAAACTGTATCTGATCAGAATTTTCTTAACTAATTAATAATACAACAACTCGAACTCAAAACCTATAAGGAGAACAACATTTTATTTTACCACTGAAATCGCTGAATGACTTCAGATAATATAAGATTCCTAATTGTTAACAAAGTTTTTTAGGAATACAATAGTAATCTCATTACCTCTTATTTTCTTAGATAATATTACAACCTCTTATTTTCTTAGGTATTATTACATTTTATGAGAGTAACAATAATTAGACAATTTCATCCAACAATTTTATTGATTTTATCAATTCAATCATTTAAACCAAATAAAACTAAATTTAAGAATTTAAACTATAAAATATTGAGACATTTAATAAACCTAATAAAAAATATCAAATAATAAAAAAAGTAGTAAAAACATAGAGTAAAAATAAAATAAACATAAAATAAGGACCTAATTGCATATATGTGAAATTACTAAACTAAATGGGAACAAAATAAACATAAAATAGGACTAAATTAAAACAAATCAAATTTTGAAGGGTAAATCGAAATAAAATAAAAATAAACAGATTTAGGGATTAAAATGTAAAAAACACACATAAGTTACAGGAACTAAAAGGCAATTATACCATTTATTTAGGCATAAAAATATTATGTTAAATTAAAAGGAAAAATTACAAAATCAGTCTACTCAATTTTAAAAAATTTAAAAGGCCACTACACATGACTAAAGTGTAAAAACACGCTAAAAGTAGGGGACTAAAAGAAAATTGTTCCAAAAATTATAAAGCATTGATAGAAATGGTAAAATCACAAAATCAGTCCCTTCCAGTGACAAGAATGCAAAAACGCGCGAATTGTTAGGGGCACCTAAAAGCAAATTTCCCCTAAAACATTTTATAAATACAACTTTTGGCTTTTTTTTCTTTTGCAACGTGCTTTTAGAAAAAAATGAGAGAGATTCTCTCCTCTCTCGCCTGGTTTCGGCCGGCCCACTGTCGGACACCGCTCCACCTCCGGCCACCAAAAACCCCAAAGTTACCCAAAATGCTCCATAAATGTATATCTACAATGTTAGGTCCTTTTTAGGGGTTAAAACCACCTAAAAATAACCTGAAACCCCCCGAAACCCTTCGGGTTTTGCTGACTCCGGTGACACCTATGATGACTCAGGTAAGCCCCGATCTAACCCCCTTTTATTTTTAGTTTATTTTATTATGAAACTGGTTATTATGGTGATTATTCGATAAAAAAACTTTATTATTATTTTATTTCATTTTCAAAATGTTGTTAGTATTAGAAACAAAACTAGAAAAAAGGGTAGTGTTTTATTTTGAAAACAAAAAACTATCCCTTTTTTACTGATATTTAGAACCAAAAATAGTACAAAAAAATAAAAGGGCTAAAAGCGATTCGAACTAAAACAACAGAAAAAAGTAACCTTGACTGCTTGTGGTTTTATTGCTTTGAAAAAAGAAAATTACAGTGTGCTTGACCCCTCTTCCTTTACAGTTACATGCATGGGTCTTTATACTTATCTTTTACATAATGAAATGATTCAAAACTTTGTTTTTTTCTTGCTTGTTTCTGCAGGTGATGGAGTGTTGGCAAAAGTGGCATGCGTGGAGGTCTCGACTGGGATTAGGGAAGAGGAGGGCAACTGCTGATTGGTGAATGAGGCGGCTACCCTAGGGTTAGGGTAGACCCGGGTCGGGTCTAGTTTTGGGCCCTAGGTCATGTATTAAATCTGGGTTCTGGTTGGGTTTGGATCTGGTTGGGTCTTGGGCACTGGTTTAGGTTTTACTTTGGTTTGTGCCAGGTTTTGTAATGGGTTGGATTGAGGTCCGAGTCTGTTGGTTGAATTAGAAAAATGGTGCTTACAACTGTCCCTTTTTTCTCATTGCTGTGAAACGGGAATAGAGCAAAGACACAAAGCACCATTTTTCAACGTGGTCTCTTATTGTCAAGCTGTGAACTCTTCGCTGGGAATTTAAATTATTCTCTTTCTGCGACGTCCAGTCCTTACTGCAAATGATGTCATCTTGCTTCGTTCTCTTGGTTGAGTCTCCATCTTCAGTTCTTCAAGCTACAGGTTCTTCTCATCATGATATTTCCACTAGAAATGTTGATCCCTTGAGAGATGCGTTGTTGATTCGAAGTATTGTGAATCGAGAAAAGGAAATGTGAACCCCTCTGGTAGGGCGTTACTGATTCGAAGTGTTGTGAATCGAGCAAAGGAAATGTTGAAAACACCCTACCTGAAGGCCTTTTGGATGGCCCGAAGGACTTATCATCTTGCTCGAAAGACTTATAGATGACCCGAAGGATTTAAGCATCATGCTCGAAAGACTTACTGATGGCCCGAATGACTTAAGCTGATTCGAAGTGTTATGAATCGAGTAATAGGAAATGTTAACCCCTCTGGTGGGGCATTGCTGATTCGAAGTGTTTTGAATTGAGCAAAGGAAATGTTGAAAATATCCTGCCTGAAGGTCTTATGGATGGTCCGAAGGGCTTATAGATGACCCGAAGGATTTAAGCATCATGCTCGAAAGACTTACTGATGGCCTGAAGGACTTACTCATTAAGAAACCCTTGAAAATCAAGCTTAGTTTCTTAAAATATTTCGTTTACAATTATCATAAAGAATCCCCTAAAAATTAGGCTTAGCTTCTTTAAAAATTCTTTGGAAATAATCATTAAGAAACCTTTGAAAATCAGACTTAGTTTCTAAAAAATCATTTGAAAATATCAAGAAACCCCTAAAAATAAGGCTTAGTTTCTTTAAAAATTCTTTTGAAAACATCATGTCGTTTGGGTAATGTGCCCCCACATCGAAGTATTGATTCTTCTTTACTGGACTCCTCAATCCTTGATGCTTAGTCACTTTGAACAAAAATCCCTCTATTCGAGGCTTGAATTCTGTCTTTTTCTTCTCTTATTTTCTTGAAAAATCTGTAAAAATATGCTTTGATGCTTGAAATGTGAATTCAATAGATATGTATCTAAATGTAATGCATGGCTTTCTTATGTGCAAAAATGTTTATCAGTAATTCTCTTTTGACTTCAAAATGGAGATCTCGGTCCTCCTCCACTTGATCAATCTTGTATTAACATATTGTCTTGTAAAAAAAAAAATTAGGCCCAAAATCCGTTTGTCAGGACCCATATCTATACAATAAGAGATTATCCATCCACATATCCAAACGCATTTTCTCTCCTCTCATCCTATATTCCAGCTTCTTTGTACCTTAACTGATCCCTTAAACCATATTTGATTTAAGTGTCACACGGTTTATCAAAGGGATTAATTTTTTTCTTTTAAAACCATTTATTCAACATTTTAAAATAATTAATCAAATATGGAAAGCATAATCTCTATATATTCACTGAATCATCATCATTGTACTCTATTATTTCATATTAACAAATTTAAAAATATAAATTAACAAATTAATGAATATAAATATTAATTTAATTAGAGACTTAAATCAAATAATCTCTTTCTCTTAAAAAAATTCTCATTTTTCATAAAAAATAATTTATCATTTCTTCTTTTTCTTCTTTGAAAACTCTGTAATTCGCCACCAGTGTCAATAGCCCTTTCAGAGGAGTCATCATAACCAATTAAAATTATAAACATCATAGAAATATTTATTCGATTATTTAATTTTTTTCCTAATAATATAATCGAACGTGACTCTTACTTATCTTTTTGTTCAATTAAAATATAATATCTACAATTTGCTATTTAATATTGGTTAGGTGACACTTATTTAAAGATATTATTATATTTCTTTAATTTTTAATTGATATCTTCCTTCCTATATATATGTGTGCGTGATACAACGGATATCGCAGTCAAGCTATCCTTGAAAAGCTATTTGGTTTTCTTTGCAATCATGAAATCTACTCTTGTATTCTTCGCTTTCCTCTGCATACTTTTGGTACATTTTCTTTTTCCTCATTATTTTCTTTACATTCCTTAAGCATTTATGTTTGAAAAACAAGTAATTAATAATCCATGTAGTGGTTTTAGTTATAAAACTAGGGATTGGTACGAGATTCGAATTTAACATGTTTAGTCTTGACCAGATTTTGTTGGGCCAAATTTAAAAAAAAATAAGTTCGGATCAGATCAAGTTCAAATTTATTGTGAACAATATATGATTCTAAAAATAATGTAATCATATCTTATATATTTAGGGATAATTATAATAATATCTCTCTATATTTTTTTTCAATTAGATTCCTATTATATCAAATAAAATTAATATTTTTTATAAATATATTTATTTCGGGTCGGGTGAAATCACATTAAGTTCAAGTCGGGTCAGATTTCGGGTAGTGAGTGCATACTTTTTTGGGTCGTATTGGGTTGGTCAGAAACCTAACCCGACCCATGCCCATTACTAAGTAAAAATGATTGTTATTCTCCCTAAAGATCCTGAATTCGAATAGTTGCATCTATAGGATGTACAGGTTTATCAAATCTAGGACCTCTGAAAATGATAATTTTTTTCTTTTACTAGTGAGATCCTTGTTGAGTTTTAATTTTTTTACTTTGACTCATTTAATAAAATATATACTTTTTATTATAAAATAGTTAAATTAATACAAAATAGTATTTGATAAATAAAAAGTTAAATTTAAATTACTATACTATCCACGTACAACGTTACATCTAAATATCTAATTTTTATAATGAATACAAATTTAGTCAAAATTAAAGTAAAATAATTACAATATCAAATATTGATAAAACTCATGATTAAAAACTCTCAATTGCTTAATTATTATGCAGTTTACTAACACAATCGCAGCAAGAAAAGGGCCAGGCGAGGGATATAATGATGAAACGAAGGAAAAGTTTCACACAGAAACAACTAAAGAAGCAAAACAACAGTCTGTTATAAACCCAATTCCTGCTATCTACTATCCAAATAAAGTTGGTAAGTTAGTAACAATTAAAAATGGATAAATCTTTTGTTAAGAAATTAAATTTTGATCGGTCTATAATTCTTTTATTTTATCTCTTATAAAAAGATGGTCAAGAAATGGATAATACAGGAAAAGAATATGTTATAAACCCAATTCCTTTTTTCTACCATCCGAAGAAAGTTGGTAAGTTTCAGTAACATGTAGAAATAGATAAATATTTTGCTACAAATTTAAATTTTGATCGGTCTATAATTCTTTTATTTTATCTCTTATAAATAGATGGTCAGGAAATGATCAATGCAGGAAAAGAATATGTTATAAACCCAATTCCTTTTTTCTACCATCCGAAGAAAGTTGGTAAGTTTCAATAACTTGTAGTAATGGATAAATATTTTGTTACAAATTTAAATTTTGATCGGTTTATAATTCTTTTATTTTATCTCTTATAAAAAGGTGGTCAGAAAATGGACAATGCAGGAAAAGAATATGTCATAAACCCAATTCCTTTTTTCTACCATCCGAAGAAAGTTGGTAAGTTTCAGTAACATGTAGAAATGGAAAAATCTTTTGTTACAAATTGAAATTTTGATCGGTCTATAATTCTTTTATTTTATCTCTTATAAATAGATGGTCAGAAAATGGACAATGCAGGAAAAGAAAATGTTATAAACCCAATTCCTTTTTTCTACCATACGAAGAAAGTTGGTAAGTTTCAGTAACATGTAGAAATGGATAAATCTTTTGTTATAAATTTAAATTTTGATCGGTCTATAACTCTTTTATTTTATCTCTTATAAATAGATGGTCAGGAAATGGACAATGCAGGAAAAGAATATGTCATAAACCCAATTCCTTTTTTTTACCATCCGAAGAAAGTTGGTAAGTTTCAGTAACATGTAGAAATGGTTAAATCTTTTGTTACAAATTGAAATTTTGATCGCTCTATAATTCTTTTATTTTATCTCTTATAAATAGATGGTCAGGAAATGGACAATGCAGGAAAAGAAAATGTTATAAACCCAATTCCTTTTTTCTACCATACGAAGAAAGTTGGTAAGTTTCAGTAACATGTAGAAATGGATAAATCTTTTGTTACAAATTTAAATTTTGATCGGTCTATAATTATTTTATTTTATCTCTTATAAATAGATGATCAGGAAATAGATATTGCAGAAAAAGAATATGTTATAAATCCAATTCCTTTTTTCTACCATCCGAAGAAAATTGGCAAGTTTCAGTAACATGTAGAAATGGATAAATCTTTTGTTACAAATTTAAATTTTGATCGGTTTATAGTTCTTTTATTTTATCTCTTATAAATAGATGGTCAGGAAATGGACAATGCAGGAAAAGAATATGTTATAAATCCAATTCCTTTTTTCTACCATCCGAAGAAAATTGGTAAGTTTATGTAACATGTAGAAATAGATAAATCTTTTGAGACGGATTTTAAATTGGATCAATCTATAGTTGATTTGCAGAGACTGTGAATTAAAGAAGTTTGTTGTTGACTTTCAGGTTCAGCTTGAAGACTATGTTCATCAAAAGAGAAGTAATCGTTTAATAAAATATTGGGCTTTCAAGGAAGAAGAATCTTATGTATTCAAAGTAATATATGTGTTGTATTTATATATATATATATATGGCCAGAAAGATCAATAATTGAAGATGGGTGAAGCATTGTCTCCTATTTATATTTCCAAATTGATGAAAAATTATTTCATTTGGACATAAGCTCTGTGTAAAAGTGACAAAAAGAAAAGAAAAGAAAAACATTAATTAAAAAAACATATTCATCTTTTGCACTCAATTTTTTAAATAATATTTTGATTTTTAATTTTAATTTTTTATTAAATTAAACTATGTTACACGGGTATGGTAATCTGATACCATTTTAAGTACTTAATATGTCTCCGAGATGAGTACAAGATGGACATAAGTATAAGTATAACTTGGGTATACGTCTCATGTTGAATGGGTACGATTATAGTTAACCCGGGTATGTCAGAGAGATTTCTGTGGACCTATCGGGGATGACGTTTGATCTTCACACACGTATTCATGTTTATTTTTGAGATTTAACTTAAAATAAATAATAATAATTTTGAAAAAGAAATTAAAGTGGATTTTGAAGTGAATATCAAGCGACTTACAATGAATTTTTGGATGATATTCATATAGTTTTGGGTTGAGATGGTGTCTTACGTATGAATGGTCTTTCAGTTATCTTTTTAACAATCTTGAATCGCCTCAATTGAATGTCGGAAATGCAATATATATTCGTTTTAACGAAAATAATACAAACAGAAAACTTGATATTGATCTAAATCGTGATTTTGTAGTAATTAATGATCGGATTATTGAGACTCTAGGATTGATCTTTCGGGTTATGGATGATCGGATTAACATTATTAAGTTGGTTGATTTTAAAGGTGAGTCGAGTTCTTGTGGATCATTGGCTGATTGGCTGACAACTAATAGTTTATCTAGGGATGCTATCTTTAAAGCTAGGTGATAATCGGGTTAGGGCTGGAGTGGTTCAGTTATCTTGCTGTGCGTGTAAGGGATTGGTCTCCTCGTCCAAAACCACTTCTCTCATCGTTGTTTAAGCTTTGGTCGGCAATGTCGTGCACCGCCACCGTCGTTGGGATCGTCGGTGCCGTGCGATCAAAACCCCCATTATCCCTTGCCTTGATATGTTGACATTTGTTGAGAATCGACATTTGAAGCGTTCGATGGGAAACCAAGCCACCACCTTCAATTTCTTTAAAAATACGTCAATTACGTCCCCGTTGAATTACACGACCCTCACCATCGAGCTCCCCATTCAGTCGCAGTCAGGGCCCAGTTGGTAGTGTCCCTGTCGTCGTGTTTTTCTCCGGTCACCATTGGTAATGAACTCCAATCGCTCCCTTTCTCATTTTTATTTGGTTTTAGTTGATTATTGGTATTGATTTGGGATTGCTTTGGTGTGAGAATGCTTCGGGAGTCTTCGGCCGTCCGTTCCGACCCTTGTTGCCGCCGTACAAGCCGTCACGCGCCTATAGTGCGCGTGAGATTTGTCCGCCGCTCCAGGAAGCTTCTGAAACCGATCCAGCTAGATCGAACCGGTCCAGTCAAACCATCTATTCTCATGTTTCAGTTTTGATTATTGGTATTAATCTTCTTAGAGCTTTGAAGAAAACAAATAACATGTAAATGATGATATGGCATAAAATTTAAATGATTTTCTATAAAATTTGAGGACTTAATTATTTTTAGGTTAAACTAATTATTTGTCACCCATCTATTCTCATGTTTTTGTTTTGGCCACTCAACTTTTTTTTTCACAACCATTTCTAACACTACGTTTCTATTTTTGTCTCCCAATGTTCAATTTGACTATAACGAAAATGATGTTATGGCATAGTATAATAACAATATTAGTCATCAAAACTCACATATTCTATTAAATTCATCATAATTTGAAATAATTCAATAAAAGCTCAATATTTCAAAATCCTATTAATTTGATTCATATTTTAATTTAAAATATTTTTTAAATTTTTTAATGCTTGATGTAGGATTTAATTTATTAATACTTGATGGCGGATTTACGAAAACCATGACTCGTGGTGCATGCATGTAACCGAATAAGACATCACTTTGCATTCAGTAAATTTCCAAGTTCTTGTTCCAGAAAGCCAACTATAATTACCCATGGAAGATATTGTAACTTCAATTCGAAAGGGGTTTTAGCAAAATTTTAACGAGACCGTGGCCAAAATTTGACAGAAAGTCAAAATTTTAACGACAAAAGTAATCTATTGAATTATTTAAAATTATGACTAATTTAATACACTGTGTAAATTTTGAGGACTAAAACTATTATTAAACCATGAGATATCATTGTTTTCGTTAATTTAACTACCAAACTAAATAGTAGGTGACTAAAATAAAACAAAACATAACATTAAATATAATTTTAAAGAAAAAATAATTGGAACATCAAAACAAAAATAATTTAATCTATCTTCTATAAAGTTTTTATTACTCGAGACAACACATGTCTCGCAATAAACACAAGTACTTCAAATTTAATTGTCTGGAACAAGAACAAAGTTGTCCACCGAGAAGAAAAGGCAGACAGGAAGTGTCCCAGGTTTGATCCCCATCACGCGAAACGACACATGGTTTCGGTTCCACTGCAAAGTATCCATGTGACAACAGCAAGCGCGGTCACCCGATCACCATTCTTACAACCCAATGATACCTTAAAACTCTGTTCTCCATCAACTGGCTATGGCAATACAATACGACATAAGGGTAGGGTTTGGTGTGACACGACACCATCACCGGAGCCAGTATCTATTCCGATGTTTCTAACACGGTATAGTTTTGGAAAAGTGTCATCAACTTCGTATGATGTTCCGTCGCAACGATCTTGAAATCGGCATTGGATTCGAAGATGCTGGTTGCGAAATCGAGCATCAATTCCAAAGAAGTAGTGTAGAATTTGGCGTGACACTTAATCTTTCAGATTCGGGGCGGACCATATTAGATTATTTTATATATTCATAAAGGATGCTTGAAAGTCGAACATAGATTATCGGTGACGAAGAAGATGAAGAGGGAGCCAACATAAGGGGTTAGGGTTTCGACAAAGATGAAGAAAAACATATTATAAAAGATAAATTAAAAACTTGTCTCTAAGTTGTTTTAGATTTACAAAAAGGTCCAAATTAGTATTTTATCTAAAATATGGAGGTTAAAATAAAAATTAAACCATTTTATTAACGTGTCACATCACATACTAACGACATTCAACGTTCAAGTGACCAAAATTTAATAAAATGATAATGTAAGTGACTAAAATAATATTCGTGTCACTTATGTTATCAATTTATAATTTTTTGCCACTTGTGTAGTTGTGTTATCGATTTATAACATTTTGATCAATATAACGTTAAATGTGGTTAGGTTGATGACGTGATACATTATTTTAAAAAGGGTGTAATTTTTAATTTGAGGTTAATTTTAAATTTAATCCTTAAACCTGAGATAAAATACTAATTTGACCCATAACTTTAAATACCATTTTATCTCTAAATAATTTTGGAATGTTATCGTTTTATTAAGTTTTGGTCACTTAGACGTTAAATGCCGTTAGTTTGATAACGTGACACATTAATAAAAATATTTCATTTTATAATATATCTTTTCTTCTCGGTAGCTTGATTAAAGGTAAGAACTTTTTTGTCCAACATTCCTAGTCCAAGTTTACAAAGATAAATAATATAATCTCCTCACTTAAAGCTTCAATTCAAGCTCTCTTTCTATAAGTTTGGCCATGGTGAGGGTTTATAATAGGTTTTAGAACCCTTGAACTTAATCAACCCATTTTGATTGTATTTCAGTATCTAGGAAGTTTCTTTGACTTCTTTTCAAGTTCCTAGATAAGTTAATAACTCGTTTCTTTCTTGTTGATTAGTGAGAGAAGTGGGACAAAGCTTTAAAGATAAGAACAATGAAATGTTTATGATTGGTTAAGCTAAGAGGGATTCTGGCTGTTTTGGAGTAATGTGTCACACTTCTAACTCAACTATAACACTTGTAGATCAACATGTGTAGCTTGTTTGCTTGTATGAGTGTGTGTAGCATAATGTGTGCATTTTTCTTGGGGATTGGTTTGAGAAGGATTTGTTGTTATTCATGTATAAAAATGATATATTATGGCCCCATATGATTCTCATAAGATTTAAACATCACCATAAGGCCTTAGATACGTGATTGAGGAGAGTTGGGATGAGATTCCCATAACATACAAGATATTTATGTGCTTGAGTAATGATACTGAATGATTTAGTATTGATATTGTTCATACGAGGGTCAAGATTTGAGATGTAGTTGGATAGTATCGATACAATGTTCTTGAGGTATAAATAATGTACGTCGAGTATCGATACCAAAGGTAGTGATATCAATACATGATTTATTTTTCAAACTTCAGGGCTTAAATTGATATTGATACTTAGGGTTGGTATTGGTACCATCAGGTGAGTATCAATACTCTGGATAAGGGTATTGATACTAGGTTTATTTTGATAAACGTTGAGAGCTGTTTTGTTATTGATACATCTGAAGGGTAGTATTGATACTTGTGTGGAAGAATCGATACCATGGGTATTAAATTGAACTTTAAGGTGTTTTTTGGTATCGATACTTAGGGTAAGTATGGATACCTTAGGTTTGGTATCAATACCCAAAGGTAGGTATCCATACCATCATGGAGGAATAGTTAGAAAACTTTGTTTCAATGAAAGACTCGAGTAAGAAGTTTAGAGATGTCTTGACCACTATTAAAAGCTTGAAAGTCGAAACATTGTTAAATGTATGCGATTAAACATAATAATACTATGAGGTAAGATTCTATTAGACTTAGGCCTTTGTTTAACACTCGGGAAATGATAAGGACACCCAAGTTACTTGTGCATGAAAAACGTCTTGTTTGTATGATAAATATTCAAATACATCCAAATTAATATTATGGTATATATAATGCTAGTCGGATGTTACTCCAATGTTCAGGTTACCCAAACTTATCTAGAATACTCTAGAGAAATAGACTAATCAGGTGTTAGATGATGATGCTATGTGACCTAGATCTTATCTAGAGTAACTTTGTCATAA